AAAAATTCTTATAGGCTAAGTAGAAAATAGTTTGACATTATTAATACATAATAAGAAAAAATAAAACTACTTATAAAAAAGATTCAGAGAGTTCCTAAAGCGATTTTTTGAAGTTGAAAAATCGATATCAACATATTTATAAATTCTGTTGAATTCAATTAAGGCTCTAGTGATGGGAGCATTTCGTGCATATAGAGCCCTAAAAATACCAACATGGAAAAACTCTGAGCAGCGTTGAGGTCTGGCAGGTATATTAAAGAAAATCCTCTCAAGGAGTACGGGACAGTCTACAACACCACAGACTAGATCGAAAACAAAAGATAAAGAAAGGATTATTCTCCTACTTTGCAAGGATTTTAAGTTTATCTACAGGCATCTCGATTCATAGGAGGGGATAGGGTCCGAAAAGCGTAAGAAAATTTTTTGGATCCGCTCAATCCTAGCAATATGACACGCATAATAAGGAGACCAGATAAAGGACGCGTATTCAAGCCTGGAGCGTACAAAAGCCATATACAAAAGTTTCAGTGTATACGGGTCGGTGAATTCCCTACCACGGCGCCTTACAAAAGCAAGCATGAAATACGATTTTGTAATAATAAAATTTATATGATTAGCCAGTGGCGGATTTATCGTACAGGCAACATAGGCTGAAGCCTAGGGCGGCAGAATTAAGGGGCGNAGATTTGTTTCTATCTATCGATTGTGAAGATATTATCCGCGAATTCGCAGCTGAAAAATCAAGACGTAAAGAACTGTGAAAAAGAAGTGTTTGAAAGAGGGTTTTTGTTGAATACCTTATCCATGCTGATGTCGAATTTGTTAATTCCGTTATGTATTTCATTATTAACGAACTATATTGTAATAAAGCACTGACAATAACAATCATATTTGATATATATATATATTTTTTTTTTTCGTGAAAAAAGGGCGGCAAGTTATGAATTGCCTAGGGGCGGCAAATATTTAAATCCGCCACTGTGATTAGCGAATGTAAACTTTGAGTCAAAAATTACTCCAAGGTCCTTAATTTCATTTAAACGCTGTAGTGGTGACATGGAAATATGATAAGAGCTCTGAATAATATTACAACGTTTAGCATAGGTAACGTAAAAGCATTTATTTGTATTCAACGAAAGACTATTTTTTATGCACCAATTGCTAACATTATCGATATCGTTTTGCATAAATTGACAATCGAGAGAGTTACTGATCGTAGAATAAAGATCATCCGCGTAAAGCAGAAACTTTGACGAGGAGAAACATGTACAGATATCGTTAATAAACAAGGCAAAAAGCAATGGACCCAGGATGCTACCTTGCGGGACTCCTGAGCGTGCAACAAAAGGCAGAGACTTAACATTGTCGAAAACAACCATGCAACGACGATTGTGTAAGTACGATGAAATCCAGCTCAGGAAAACTGAGTGGAAACCGATGCAGGCTAATTTTTTTTTAACAGGATACTATGGATTACCCTATCGAAAGCCTTAGAAAAATCAGTATAGACCGTGTCAACCTGAATCGCTGATTGGAAAAATGTCTAATAATGGATACACTAAAGATTCACACTGTTTAAACAAAAGTGCAGACAAACCATCATCGTCAGTTTGTGAGGAGGGTTTAAGCCGAGCAATGCCACTGAGCACATCCTCAGAAGTAAGTGTTAATTTGCCAAATTCAAGAGACTGTTGAATATCGAAAGAAACGCTATTGGAATCTGTTCTGAAATTGGACTTAAAAAATTCAGCGAATAAATTAGCGGCTTCTGTAGGAGTATTAGCAGCATTGTCACCCATAAAAAGTGCCGACGGAATGCTGGAACAAAAAATGTTTTTGGATTTGATTTTAAGTTGGTTTCAAAACTAAGGACATAGTTTCTATGCAAAAATGTATCCAAACATACGAATTCATTGGAGTATTTTTTATACAGGCCGAAGTAAACATTATTATGACTTTTTTTGAACTTACGAAGAAACTTGTTTTTCTTATTTCGTAGTCTCATTAAAGCCGCATTGTGCCATGGTACCTTGTAATGCTTTTTTGTTAATTCTGGAAGAGTACATTTGCAAATTTCTACAACAGTACTTCTCGAAACACTCCGAGACATTACAGTGGTGAAACAAGTTATCCCAGTTGACATCCAACAAAAGACCATTCAATTTCAAAAAATCGCATTGCTTAAAGTTAAATGATAAGCTAGAATTAGCATTGCTAAGTTTAGAAAATTTATAAAATTCAAAATCAACAACTAGACGTACATGGTGCATGTCTGTTTTAGTTATGTGAAAATTACACTCCTGTAAAGAAAAATTTACAGTTGTACTTAAAAATATCAAGTCTAAAGTGCGACCAAGTTTATTGGGAAAACAATTAATTTGCATGAGATCTATACTTAAAAAGCTATCAACTAGATAAATTTCACTATTGCTATTAACATCACACGCAATGAGAGCTGATTTGGAAATGGTGCGCGACCAATTAACATTGCAGAGGNTATGAGTTGAGTTGAGCTGAAATAACATTAGTTGGAATGGGTTAAGTGGAGGGGAGTTTAGCTTAGCAATTCGCATAACATAACATACCATAACATAAGATTAAATAACATATGTAGCATAACACACCACAATATAACCTAGCACATTCTTCAGTTGTATTTCCTTTTTATCCCTATCACTTTCTTCCTCTCTATCTCTATCGCTTTTAATGTTTATGTTTATCTTCACCTTCATGTTCATGTTCAAGTTCATGTTCATGTTCATGTTCATCTTCATCTTCATATTCACCTTCGTTTATATTTGGGTTTCTTTACTGTTATTCTAATCTTTGCTTTTATCCCTTTCTTCTTCTACATATTCAACTTTACCTTCTTCCTTGCATGAATCTTAATCTTCATAAATCTGATTCCGAAACTGCTGCTTGACAGATTTCTTTAATTCAGTATCAATATTACAGCATACATTTAGGGGGCATTTCCGCCCCAAGCATGTACATGTGCGGCAATAGTATTGGTGTCACTTTTCAATAGTTTTTTTTCGGTTTATGTTAAACCAATTTGAAATTTTAAAAATTGTCTGCACATCAGCATCAAAATACCTTTCTAATGATACATAATTGTTTATACGTTTAAGGTATAGTTTAGCCGTAAAAGGGGTGTAAAGAAAACATGTTTGCCCATATGTATATAAGATAAGATACCAAAAACCAAAAAACATATGGAAACATCATTATATTGCAATATATTCGGGGTCTTCATCAAAAGTGATAAACTGATTTAATTATCATTTTATCTCGTTTATCCGAAGTTTATCAATTTATATGAACGCCGCTATTATCTTATATTTCGTTATATAAGATTAAAAATCTTGTTTATTTTGGTTCACTTTGTGCCAAATGATATCATTGATGCCACATCAAGTGATATCATGTCATGTGGTGAAATTGGGTGTGGTGAGTTGCGGTTTGGTGGAGTTACGGTGCGGTGGGTGTGGGAGTTACGGTGTTGTGAATTCAGGTGTGGTACGCTTAAGAGGTGTGGTGGATTTAGGTGAGGAAGGTTAGGTGTGGTGAGTTGATGTGTGGTGAATTTTGGTGTAGGGAGGGAAGTAGTGGTGGATTTAGGTGTGGGGTTAAGGTGTGGTGATCTCAGGTGGAGTACGTTTTTAAGTGGAGGTGGGATGAGTTGAGGTGAGTTAAGTTAAGTTAAGGGTTATAATCTTTACCCTTATCTTCATCTTCATCTTCNTTCACCCCCACCATTGTTATTAGGTTAGGTATTTAAATTTTCCTCCCTCTTTGTCTTTATATTTAGGTTTCTGTACTTTTATTTTAATTTCTGTATTTATCCATTTCTTCTTCTCCATACTCAACTTTACCTTCTTCCTTGTTTGGGTCTAATCTGTTCATGTACATACATACATACATCTTATTCCTAAACTGCTGCTTAGCACGTTTCTGTAATTCAGTATCAATATTAAAGCATACATTTAGGAGGCATTTCCGCCCCAACCATGTACATG